TCTCTAAATCCTTCTTTATATTCCAAAGTTGTAAATATCTGAGGTTAAGTGGGTTATAGTTTAACGATTTGTCTTATACAGAAAAACAAAACATCACTATTTTCTTCATCTCTGAGAGTAAAAGTATCAGAAAACCAAAAGTTGGTTCTTGAGTGGGCAAGATAAAGGGAAGAAAAGAAATCTACTCTGGGTTTAAAAAAATGAACAAAAACCAACAAAAAACCTCTAAGAGCCCCCAGTCTCCCATTGCTGAAACAGGAAAAGTCACACTGTACAACAGTGCCAAGCTTATGATAAAAAACTTGTAAAGTTTCTTTAGTCCAAAATGCCAAACAAGTCAGAAGTCTGAAGTTACACACTACACCTTCTGCCAAAGAGGATCACAAACAAGCTACAAGGTTTACAAAGAGGAAACTTCAAGAGGGTGGAAAACAAAATGCTGAGTGGCAGCAGGCTTAACAGTGATGTTTGGGTCAGATGTCAGGACTTCTCATTGGTTTAAATCAACGTGAAGCAGCGGGGACTTCTGATATCAGTGAAAGTGCTATGTGACTTCAAATGGAAGCTCAGTACTAGACTGTACCAGAAAATACATGTGTCTGTATTCTGCTATGGCTTGATTTTTCTGGTTTCCAAAATGAGGCCATTGTAATGTTGTTGCCTTTCAAAACCATGACGAAACAGAAGGATTCCAAGATACTGGGATATGTAAGCTGATTCAAGAGTCTACACTGCCTTTAGCCAAGTGAAAGCTATCACATTATTCCAGAAAAAATACTAATACTTTTTTTTTAAAAAAAAACATTAATTCTCTGCTGATTGCTTCCCCATAGTTTAATTAGTGAGGAAAGGCAGTAAAGCATCACAGAATTTCCATTAGTTTTACTGTTCCCCACAGTCAATATTTTATGCCTATGTTTTTATTTCTAGGTTCCAGGGACATATACAAAACCATTCATTCTCTTTCTTTTGTTTTCTATCATGTGAAAACTGGGACCCAAATGAAATCTTATAACAGACTTATTATTCCCCTCTTCCAGTCTCATAAACAACAAACACACTCATGTAACGACACAGAGAAACTCCTATTGGTTTCTTTACAATTCTGAAACCGAGTGACTCAACTTCTGTAAGAAGTACTGAGAGGTGGTATCAGCACTCAGAATGACTAGAAACATGAACACTCTGTATACTGTGCCACGTAATGTAAAAGTTTTTTGAAAAAAGCAACAAACACTTGAAGTATGCTCTACTTGCTAACATCTCATCTTTGAAATACGCGCTCAAGTCCAATTATTTTCTTCAGTATCTTCTCTCAACTTCTCACCTTTTTGTCCGCTCTCTAAAAGACCACATTCTTCTAAAATATTACACGTTTTTTTCTCCCACTTCTGAAAATCACCCTAAAATATCATAAACTAAGAGAAGGAAATCAACCAACAGCCTTTCTTTTACAACCTCAGTCAGTATCACTGCTGTAAACAAGCAAACACGGGGTGATGGGGGAAAACACCTTCCGATGCTTCTTAAAGCCTGAACACTTGCTGTCATGACTATCAGTCTTATAAATGAACTACAGTCTCTTGAGACTGAGAAAACATGGCTGAAAAAGCTGTACTTCTGAGCCTTTCTAGAAGGCTTGGCAAACATTTTCTAAAACAACAAAATACAACTACCAGTGCACCACAGAAGGCAGACCTTAAAACAGAGAAGTTAGACTCAAATTTCTATACTTTCTATTGTTACTTCTATGTTTTTACACAAAAAAAACCCTGAATCATTAGTGCCAGAAATGTCACTAAATTGTAACAAATAAACACCTCTTCAAGAGGATTCCGTGTGAAGATTTTAATAAAGATAAGTTAACTAAGCACAGCATCAAAGAAATAAAGACACACATAACAACAATAAATAAATGCATAAACAGCAGTTTTCCATCAGATTTAAAATTGCTTTTTGACTTCTATAACCAACTTCTGTTTATTAATCGTATGGCAAAACATACAGGATACTAAGTTAGCTTACATTATAGATACCTTTAATGAAACTGTTAACTGTATGTAAAATATCGAGAACCATCTTAAAACTGATAGGTCGGTTTCCACAGGCAGTTAATATTCTGGAAATCCTAGCTCTGTTGGAAGTTGTTTGAAAATATTTATCACTTACCTTTATATTAAGATTTCGAATTGACTTTTCGAAGCACCCAACCTGTCAGAACGTGTCAAGCTCATGAAACTCTGCCATATTCTCACAAAGAAAGCTGCTAAGTAGAATTATCTCTCCTCTCTTTATACTGATGAAAAAGCCCTTATTTATTAATATAGAAAACAAGAAAACATAATGCTTAAAGCTAACAGAAAACTGTACTTTTTTTTTTTTTTGCTTAACCAAATCTGAAGCTTGCTTCAACTTCTCTCCACCAAAGCTATCATTTGGCACAGAAAACACCAACGTACTGGCAGCACTCTTTATTTAAGACAACTAATTAGTTATCATTGCATTCCTGGTATCACATCAGCATGTTACAGTTTTAGCATGTTCAATGTAAGTAGCACGTTATATTTCTCTTCAATGTCTGAAAATTCATGACTAGGTATTAATCCTTCTATTTTACCACAATTGTGACTTTCAACTGAGAAACCTCAAATGTCCAGGTATTATTTTACTTGGCAGCTTGTTGGTAATGTATTTATAAACCCAAACAAACCCGTCATTGCTGGTAAAGCTATCTAGCTTCAAGGCCATGGGGTGCAACACGCTGGACTAGGAAAAAGAAATGCTATTAGCATCCTCTGCCTGTGGCTTTCATAGCTGTACAAAGAACTTCACATAGACTTACCATTATGTTCAGAAAGCTTCCCGTAAGAGTTGTAAAAAAAAAAAAAAAAAAAGAAAAAAGGAAAAAAACAACCAAAGGCTTCAAGAATTCCATGGACAGATGTGAACACCTGAAGCCCAGACCACGAGAAGCCTCAAGTTTTCATCATAAGAACCCCATGGTAAGATTTCCCCTGGATTGATTTCTGAAGATTGTTGTAAGAAAAAAAAATAAGAGGAAAAAAAAAATAGCAGTGTTTGAAAAATTCAGAAAACTAAGAACTGAAAACCTGCAAAAACACCAATACTCTGCTGCTTCAACAAAAATCACACAGGGTGATCAGATACCTCAGGTTGACCCGGTCAGGCCTCACATGGGAATCTTTTTCCAGAGTCCCCAAGAATTTCAGCAATCATTATTTTGTAGCAAGTTTTTAAAGCCGAAAGTAAGATTTTCCTCCTCCCCCTTCCCTGTGAACTGCATCCTTGTAAAAAGCTGGTGAGTAGCTATAAAAGTTATGTAAACCCCACAGTGTTACCTGCATCCAATTTTTCCCTTTAAAACGACTTATTTTCATCCTACCATGCAAACCTAACAAGGCATCAGAACAAGAGGCCAAGTGAAACTCTTCAGTTAGAATAAAGTTCTTGTAGCAGTCATTCATCCCAAACTAGAATGGATATGTACCCTATCATTACAAGAGTTCTGGCAAGTGGTGAGAACCAGAAATAAGCTTGAAGTTGTGTTTTTATTCATTTATATCCATTCTCCATGGAATTCTTGGGCTCCATGATCTCCCCAAGTCCCACAGCTAGCACTTAATATTTCAACACTAGAAATTGTTTATGGTCCCTTAATTCCAACAATTGTGCAACAAACTAAGCAACTAGTAACCATAGGAACTGTGGTACAGAAATAACAAGTTTCAGCAATGAAACTGCAGTTTATTTTTAATTCTTGCAAATGCTATTCTTTCATAACCTACATGTAACAAACTAATTAAACCTAAACATTAATGTACTTCTTACTACTATGCTGTAGTTCAAGAATTCCATTTCTGTCTTCTGTCTCTCTTCTCCTCTCTCCCTACTCTTTTTTCTGTTTGCTTATACTTGTATATAGGAAAAAAATTGCAAAGGTACTTCAAAGGAGAACAATTAACTCTGTTTATTCATTTTTAAGTCAGAAGATTCTAAGTATCAATCATACTTAGCATCCTATTAGTATGCTTTTGTAGCATACTGCCCTTGAATCATCTACAAAGCATTTACATTCTGCTAATTCTAGAATCTCTAAGGAACCTATTAGACAATAACTTCATGAGCAGATTTAATTAGATAAAATGCAAATATAATGCAGTTAAAGCAGGTAAGAGGCAGGACTGAACCACCATTCATCCGATGCTGGGCAAAGTTCACACAGACCAAAAATCACTTTCACAGACCAATTTAATTCATAGTACTGATAACTGCACAGTCCTCCACTGGAATTTCCTATTACTTGACTCTTTACTGTGACATTATCTGAGATTCCTGAAGAACAAACATTAAGCCCAGTGTAATCTCACACAGATATTGCACTCTGAATGACTGCTTTTTAGTGCTGGTAAGCCATTACATTGATACATAAACACAATTTGGAAACACTGAAGAGCTTTCACTCAATTGCCTATTTCTTCCCAATTTTGGTATTTTATGAAGACTTAGAAAACTTTTAGGGATAGAAATATTTCAAAACCGTATGAAATGTAACAATTACTCTACTTGGATTATTTGAGGACTTCAACAGACAAAGCGACATGAGAGAATTGTTATTTTTCATCAATACTGTGAATATCTTTAAATAAAGAAGATTATTTTCCCCTATTGCAGAATAATTTTTGTAAGTACCTTCTGAGAAAAGCTGGAGGAATACTCTTGGAGATGGCAGTAGGACAGAAGCAGAGCTACACAGAACCACCCACAACCATCACAAGCAGCATGATGCCTAACATGAGGCCACCTCTCCACAACGGACTCTTTCAAAAACATCTTTCATATTTCAAACGTATCTATATTTGATGCTTATTTAGTGTTGTAACAATGCTGTTTTATCTAAATCTGTGATGTATTTTAATTGAAACAACATTCTCATACCATTTTTAACTAGTGAAGAAACAAAATATCACAGTAAACAGAAGTTTGGACACAAATCCAGGAGGACAATTTATTTTTTTAATTCTCTTTGAACTACCAGAGTCTAGTTTGAACAATTCTTCCCCTGTAATCATGCAGATTTCACCGGACCGGTACAGGTATTTACTACAATAACAAGGAGATACTTGGATGACATCAAAACTTTCAAATACTGTACTTCAGAAATAAAGAAGCTGCCACAGCTCTAACTGAATCCCAGAAAGTACATATTACTTTAAAAATGACAAACACTACTCATTTTTCTTTCTGGAACCAAACGATGAACACTGTACCAAGGAAATATGCACAGCAACAGATACTCTAAGGAGTTCAGATACCACATTCACACTTTATCCTTGTAATATTTTAACATAGCTTAGGTGTTTGCATCTACTCAGACCAGTAACTACAGAATTACGTACCTATAATAAATAACTGATTTACTAAGTCAGTGGTAAGGCATTATCTTATAAATAACTGCCAATTCCAACAACACATCAGGACAACGCTCCTTACAAACCTTATCACCATTCTACCCAAAGTTCACAAAGTCAACTGCAATTACTGAACACACAGTGAATGAAAGTGTACACGCAGCCAAAGAGGTACCTTAACACTCAAAATTTCAACATACAAATGTTGCACACCTTACTTCACTAGTAAATGTAAAGTTTGGTACAGATGTCTCAGGCTGTGAGATTCCATCTTCTGGCAACTCAGGTTAAATGGCAAAGATGCATTAAAATATTAAGCATGTAAGTACATAAGATTTAAATGGAATGTTCTGGAGGGATAAGTATTACCCAACAGAAAAATAAAATCACATTTTAATGATTAAATTGCATGTACTTCTGCAACGTATGCCTCTGACCAAACATTTGCAAGGCGTCTTAAGGAATTGCTTTTCCATGCTGACAAGCATTAGTTTAATTTGTAGGGAAGGTCTGAAATAATTTGTCCTAAAGATTATTTCTTCTCTTCAAGAGAATGAATGAAAATAATTTTCTAAATTTTCTAAGTACAGTACTGAAAACTTAACTACACAGCTTAACGTAACCACATACTGACAACAAATTCTAAGCAAGCTACAACATGTGGACACTCTCTGTTTGAACCTTGTTTCTTTAAAGGATACTCTCTCTTTCTTCTCCAAAACCAGCCCCATCTGAGGCAGTGACAGTGTGGAGCTCTGATGAATCTTTTGAAAGCCGTGTGTAACTCGAACGCTGGCTCCGCTTGTGAGCAACACTTTTCAGGTTCTCATTCTGAACGGCAGCTGAATTGGAACCTGCACTAGGATTCAGGATAATCTGAGGTGGATCTCTCATACCTTGTATTTCTTCAAAATTTTGATTAGCTTGATTGTTTGGAGCGCTGTTATTATTTAGGGTTACTGTACTAGGGGTTCTATTTAAATTGTAGACTTTCTGGCAGGCTGGCCAGTTTTCTTCCGGGCTACTTGCTATCAGGCTGCTTTCCGATGGGCTCTTCTTATCTTCCGAGCAAATCGACATGCGAACCACAGCTGGATCTTGAAGGCCACTAAGGCTGTGTGGAATTCCTCTCTTTCCACTATTACTGTCATCTTCAAGCTCAATGAGATTTGCCTTTTCAAGCTGTGAATCATCTGTTCCTTCATTATGGAGAGAATGATTGGGAGAACTTTCATTAGATCTTACACCGGAGTCAGAAGAATCTTTTTTATCCAGAAGCGCATCTGTCAAGTACTCCTTGGCTTTGATGAAGGTTCTAATAGGTTCAGATCCATGTTCTGGAGACTTGGGCTGTTTGTCTACTTTTCCATCTGTTTTCTTGTCTTTACCTTCCTTAAGAAGCGGAGTGTTATCTGACTCTTCAGTTCCTGACTCATCTTCATCACTTGGAAGCTTCTGATACCGCAGAGTAACTCCCTTAAGCTTTAAATCTGCAGCCTGGAAAATGCTTGTTCTTTCTGATGACTTCTTTCCCAGCAGAAGCTTGGAACCAGACTGATCGGATTTTTCATCTTCTTCAGTAATAGGATCCAAAGGAGATGCATCATTAGCAGAAACACCTAAAGTACTATAATCAATAACATCATTCCTCTTCAGCAGGAAGGACTTTCTTCCATCATCTTGTTTCTGCTCACCATCTTTTACTTTCTCTTGCTCTGCACTGGAATGCAAGGACCCCCCCGATGTACTCTGACCCATATAGAAAGCATTGGAACTGTGAGGGGAAGACCTTCCACTTACAGTAGTGGAACTGGCACCTCCTTCTAACTGCGACATCTGAGCAATATATTCTCTATATGCATCTCTATATTCTGCTTGTACCTTGTCAGTGAGCTTTGATATTTCAATACTCGAATCTTGAGAGTTAAGACTTGAAAGGCTTGGTGTTCTGCGAGTTTGTGACTGGAGCAAAAAAAGAAAAAGAGATAAGAGTTACATGAACTATTTGTCTTTTACTGACCACTCTAAATGAAGTAACTGAAAGCATAACTCAAAGCGTAAGTTGAAACATCAAGCGCATGCTTAAATTATTTTTTGTTTTGTTTTGAATAGCTCATGTCACTGACATTATCAGTGCTTAAAATTTGCTTACTACAATCATTTACAGAACTGAAATTAACTGAACTGTTCCAGTAATCTTACTTCTTGACCCATCCATATCCAAGAATATAAAAAGTCCTGGACTATACTGGTACACATGTAGAATACGTCTGGCTATTAAATACCTGCCAACTTAAGTTACTGTGGCGTGGAGGAGCTTCATCAAGACCAATTGTGTTGAGTTCTTCAAAGCTGAAGTTAAGTGTGTAGGGAGCTTGACCAGAAAGACCCGTAAGCTCAGTGTGAGGCAGCTCAGTGCTATGCCCAGGACGACGAGCAAGTTCGCCATGAGAAATCGCAGTGCTGACATGCTCAGCTGCTCCTCGAGGATCTTCCTGAACAGCCTGATTTTCTGAAGTTCTCATTTCAAGTATCTTAACACACACACAGGAGGAAAAAAAAAAAAAAAAAAAAAAAAAGAGAGAGAGCGAAAAGGTAATTACATAGTCAAAAAAAAATCTGAAAATTGATAAAGAACAATTCCATTACATATAGGAATGTGTAACTCAGCCGTAAAAGTGTAGTTGCCTGTGGTTGTCATAATGGAAAAGTACAAAGAAAAAACAGTTTACAGACCTGAAAGGTCTAGACGTAGACCTTTCAGAAAGAAAAAAGGGGGATCACCAATAGCTCTCACTAAACCACATCCCTCAACACAGCATCCAAGTGTTCCTTGAACACCTCCAGCGTCCGTGACTCCACCACCTCCCTGGGCAGCCTGTTCCACTTCCTGACCACTCCTGCAGAGAAGTATTATTTCCTAACGTCCAGCCTGAATCTCTCCTGATGCACCTTGAAGCCACTGAACTCACAGTGCAAGAAGGGCAATTAGCTACCTATAAATGCTCAACAGCACAACATGAGAATGTTGCACTGAATACAAGTATGTGTCAATTAAATTACTGTCCATTTAACTCACTGAATTGATCTAACTTAAGTTTCATTTAAAACTGTTCTCCTGCAATTGTGTGCCATGCATGAGCCAAATTTAAAAAGTGAAAAGGAAAGCCATGCATGAAAAACGAATCTTAAAAGAAAAGGGGAAAAATCTTCAAAGGTCACAATCACCTAAGACACAAACCTATAAGCAACGAGCTCTTGCTTATCTATACTCAAGATGATGAAATAACAAAATAATAAATGCATACATGCTTTAAGATGATAAATATAAAATGAGCTGCTACTGGGATAGCAGTGTGTACAAAAAAGTGGTTAATAACAGAAAAGACTAATTTATGATGTCCTGGAATTTTGAAGAAGTCTTACCATGCTCCTAAACAGGTGCCAGTCACCAAAATTCATATTCATTTCTTTCTTCAGTTCATCAATGTTGCACTGAGCCAAGACACGGCCATTTATATTTGCCTAAAACAGTAAAACTAAATAATGTAAATTACTGACACAGACCTGTGGTGTAAAAGTAACAGACCAGAAAGATAAAACCAGACATGCTGATGGGGACTACTGGTAAAGCTTACCAACACCACTCCTAAGTCCAATCCTACGTAATAAAACCTTTCTTTTTTTTTTTTTTTTTTTTTTTTTTTTTTTTTTTTAAGAAGAATATTTATTGAGATTGCTGATGGAGAAGAATCATCTGCATTTCATGGAATAATGAAAATATTTTAATAACACTGAGCCAGTAACAGAAAAATGTACAGCGGCTTTGTTCTGAATCAAATAAGCATGGAATGTGGTAGCAGAGAAATGAAACTGTATCCTCATCACTCACAACAAAAGAGATGTGCCAGTTTTTCAGGAAAAAAAAAAAAAAGCTGCTAACTGGATTTAGAACCCATTTACAGTGCTATTTATCTAAATACGACAATTTAAAAATCATTTTTTATTGCTTCTTTTCTCAAAATAAGCAGTCTCATCAGCATGTACGTTTTTGTGCTCTTCTTCTTGTTTGTTTTTAAGAGAGCCTTTTCTCTGAGAAATACATGCTCGCCTTAAAAACATTCTTCAAACTTAGCATGTATAGAAATTAAGTTGTTCTGAATCTGCACACGTTACAGTGAACGCCTCCAAAAGTGTCAGCTAAATATTTCCTTTTCCATGTCAGTGACCATGTTTTTAAACACACTAATTAAATTCAGCTGATACCTTTCTTATAATTGCAGAGTACTGAGGCAGCATACTCTGGTCCAGGCCATCTATCTGCTTTAGCTTCTCACATACAGCTTCCACACTCATTGTGCTCAGAGAGACATGTGAAACTCCTGTGGTTGGTCCTGCACCTGCTCCTCCTCCCTGCAAGAAGCAAGAAGGTGCACATAAAAGATCTGTTCAAAAGCTCAGTATACCCAGAATTTCACAATATGCACTGCAACAAGCCAAAGGAAATTAAGAAATGAGAATAAGAATGCACAGGCATTTGTAACTGATATCAGAATATTAATATCCTGACAAACGTTTATTATAGTATTTATATCAGAAAAAAACCACAGCATCTTGAGACCTGCCAATGTGAAGAAGAATAACTATCCTAAATCACATTATTTAAGGAAACAACATAAAAACCAGGACTATGAAGTGTTAATCAAGTTCAAATGCACCTTTATTCCAAGTTTCCAGTGATTTTAACAGTTAGTTCAGTTCTTGTTGGTTATTTATTTATTTTTTCAAGTATCCCAGACACAACTTCAGATTCTCCTGTCTGAAAAGATTCTTGGTTTAGCATGTGACAAAGATGATTGGAAATACAGCTCCTCAGTTGCTTGGATTCACTGGGTACTTATATCAGTACCCCTCCATTTTTTCCACAAGATCAGTCAGGGAGCTACAGAAAGTCATCACAGCACAGAAATACAGGGCAGCACTACTGCCGCCCTCCAGGATACTGTAAGGATGTTTCATGTATCTAGAGCTTTGGCAAGATTTTGGTAGAAGTTATTCATATCTCAGATCCATGACACCCAAGTTGCCCTGATAACGTTGCCAGCTTCTGGGCATTTCCAAGAAAGTGTGGAAGAACAAAAGAAATGCATTTATACACAAAATGATGTGTTCTTCCTGGATGGGAGCCTGCTCTGGGTAGGACAAAGTGCAAAGCCCTCAACAGTTCAGTTGTTCCAAATTCAAAATAGCAAAATCAGAAACAGTTCTATCAGCTATGAAATATATGTATAAACTCCCCCAGGAAGGGAGGTTGTACCTTCCCTTTTTCTAAACATAGAAGTTTTTGTTTCAGTTTTGTAGACAATCCACCAAAATGAAGCTCATTTTTGGAGGATGCAAAAGAGCTTCCAAAGCTTCAGAGCTTATCATCACATGCATAACTCTGAGATGTAAAACTACGCTTTGAATTTCCAAAACTCAATTAATGAAGTAGGGCTATATTTCTCAATCAGTTATTTTTATATATATAAGTTTAATATATAGATAAATCTATATATCAGTTTAATATATATATAAATATATATCAGTTTAATATATATATAAATCTATCTATCTATATATAAATATCTATATCTATATATAAAAAACTACCCAGGCTATTCAGAAGCATCTGACTTTGAATCTCAACCTGTAATTCCTCCACAGTTCTCAGCCAAATGTTTGAAATGGCCTTAAAACAATCAATCCACCAACTTCACTTGAAAACACTAAAGGAGGTGGTGGGGATCCTAAGCCTTGTGCTTTGCTCATCTGGCTGAAAATAGAGCTGAGGCTCGAGTTCATTTCTGTCGAACATTTATATATCAATATTTAATGTCCACTGGACGTTAAAGAAAAAGATATTCCCACTCGCTGCGTGGGCAACTTCCCTAAATTACTGTATAAAATTAAGCATTACGCCTTCACTCTGATGAAGGACAGGCACCTAACAGTGGTTTGGCATTCCATCCAAGAACAAGACAGTCACTTTGCAGGCTCTGCAATGCCTTCCTAATCAGGTGCCTACAATGCTGACTAGTTAACATATTAGGCACCTAACGAGGAGTGAATTCAGATCTCAACCTAGCCTGATTTTTAGCACAGCTAAAATCCCCACCAAGATAAGGACATAAACCAACCACCAAACCATTTCCATTTTTCCTGAAGAGTTTTGTCTAATATTTTCCCATAAACACACTATTTGCTGTTGGTTCGAGTTACATCAATAAGCAAAAGGCAGTCAGTGAATTAAGTCAAATTAAAACTTTCTTTCCAAAAAGCAGTTACATCAATTAAAACAAAAGAAACAGTTATAGCCAAAATCACAAGGTGGTACTGCTACAGTGAATGATCCCCAAGCAATGTGTGCAAGAAATTGCCTTTGTTCTCTCAATCCATTAAATACAATATCTATCAGTATCCACAAATAAATGCAGTTTTTAAGACACTTCTAATTTAACAATTCTCCTTCAGATCAAAATATTTTGTTAACAATCACGAACAAGTCATACTTCCTGCAAGCGTGAAGAATTAGTTTAGGAAGTTCCTTCTGTGTATAAAAAAAATACAGCAAAGCAATCTAATATTTAGACTATTTTTGTTGAAGTGTGAACTGTTTGAAATAGATGCACATTAATCCAAAACATTCTTTATAAAAAGCACTCTCTGAAGAATAAGTAATGCAATAGCTTTACGGATATCGTCATCATGTAAGTGAATTAAAACTGTACTTAAACTGACATTTTTCAGCCTTAGTAGTTCTGTTAAAGATGCTTAAAGAACATTAGTCTGAAAAGTACTTGCCATGCAAAAGCTAAAAGCAGCTTGTCAAAACAAACCTCAGGGCTAGTAATGAGCATTAGTTTACAGACAGCCCAGCATGAAGCGCCAGCATGATAGCTTCTGAAATGACTCTAAAAAGTGAATGATAATTCACAGAAAGTGGCTGTACCTGTCTTGGTCTGCTTAACCCAGACTTACACAGCTTTCAGGAAAGGACAAAACAGAACAGAAAGAAACAACAGCTTAAAGTGACATCAAAAAGATTGTATATAGAGATGACATGCTCAAAAGTAAACAAATGAAACAATATTAAGACAGGAAAGTACTGTACTGGGATATTTTCATAACGTACTGAAACTTTTAAGATATACTTTCATAATACACAGTTAGTATATGTTATGTGAATACCATTTGCCTAAGAAAACACTGCTCTAATTTGTACTTGTTAAACAGCACGACACTTTGCTTGCCCTGAAGTTCTACATTGCATTTCTAATGGAAAATTTAGCTTTAAACACATTCTCCTGCCTTTTCAGAATCACATTCAAAATCACATTACATCAGCCCTGTACCTCAGATAATTGTGAAGCCTTGTATCTAAGCACGTGATTTTTTTTATTTTAATTTTTATTTTAATTTTTTTTTAAAACCACCACTCAGAACTGAAACAGTACTCTTAAGAGCAAACAACAGGATTAACAAGTAGATGTCTGAAGTTCAACAATGCCACATAAAAGCACCTGGAAAATACACAAAAAAAGAACTCTCATGCCGCACACCTTCATTTATGCTCAAACTGTAGAAGAGCATTTCCAGTTTCTTAGAGGGTATCCCATACTTATCCTGAAGTACACAGGATTACAGGATGTTTAGATTGGAAGGGACGTCACAGCCCACCCACCCCAATTATTTTCCAAGCTTGTCCAGGTCCTTCTGAATGGCATTCCTTCCTTCTGGCATATTAACTGCACCACCCAGCTTTGCGTCACCAGTAAAGTTGCTGAGGATGCACTCAATCCCACTATGTCACTGATGAAGATTTTGAAAAGTCCCAAGCCCCAAGACAGACCCCCAAGGGACACCACTCATCACCAGCTTGCACTTGGACATGGACTTGCTGACCACAGCCCTCTGACTATAACTTTCCAACTAATTCCCTACCCAGTGAATAAGTACACCTTTCAAATCCATCCTTCTCCAAATTAGAATAAGAATGTTGTGTGGGACCATACCAAAGTCTTGCACAAGTCCAAGTAGATGCCATCAGTTGCCCTTCCTTTGCCCACCAATGCCATCAGTCCACTGAAGAATGCCACCAGACTGTCAAGCACAATCTGTCCTTGGTGAAACTCTGCTGGCTGCCTCAGATCACCTTCACGTATCATAAGTGCTTTAACACAGCTTACAGGACGATCTGATTCATGATCTTCCCAGACACAGACATGAGGCTCACTGGCCTGTAGCTCCCCGGGTGCTCCTTTCTGCCCTCCTTAAAAACAGGCGTGATGTTTCCTTTCTTTCACTCACCAGAGATTTCACCTGACAGTCATGACTCCTCAAATACGATGGAGAATAGCTCAACAACTACATCAGGCAGTTCATTCAGGACTCTGGAATGTATAGACTTGTCCACATTCAGTCTTACCATGTGGTCTTGAACTTGCTCTTTGCCTACAGTGGCAGGGATTTTGTTCTCCCAACCCCACCCAGAGGTTCAGGGACATGAGAGACCTGGATGGCCGACTGTGAGGGAGGACTGAGGCAAAGAACTCACTGAATATCTCAGCCTTCTCCAGGTCTGTTGCAGCCAGTTCTCCCTCCTAGTTTATCAGAGGGGGTAGATTCTCCCTGGCCTTTCTCTTCTGACGTCATGTACCTGCAGAATCCCTTATTACTTTTCATATCCCTCATCACCAAGTTCAGTTCCATTTGTGTCTTGGCATTCCTGATCCTGTCTCTGCATGTCTAGACAGCATCCCTGTACTCTTCCCAGACCACACATTCCTACATCCACTCCCCATACATGCCCTTCTTTGCAGTTTGAGCAGCAGGTCCTTGCTCAGCCATGTTGGTTCCTGTTTCTCCTGCTTGAGTTCTTAAATGTAAGGATGGAGAGCTCCTGCACTCTGTAACAAAGATGTCCTCAAAGAGTTGCCAGCTGCATTTTATTCCTTAGTCCCTAAAGACAGCTTTATTATTTGTACATGATGTATGCTCTCATTTTCATTAAGCTAACCCAGATTTACATTGGTTTTACGTAAGATTAGGATTTGGAATTTTAGATATCTATTCTACCCTAATGTCAGATGCAAACAATGGCGGGGCCTCAGTTGTTCACAAAGCATTCTCAGCACAGGTCTGTTCAGCTCATGCAAGGAATAGCAATGATGGTCTGTATTAAAGTTATACTCTTGCAGTAGTTGTTTCCTGCTGTGTAACGTTAAAAATAATGATTAACTCTATTTCATACAACAGTAAAATTGCAATGTTTCTGGCTTCTTCACAGATGCCCCTCTTGTTTTTAGTCCTCAAATCAATTACAAGCCTTACTGCTCATTAACCACTCAATGCAGATTGTTTTGCCCTTTTTTTTTTTTTAAAGTATACTTCATTAATTTACACGCACCAGTATGCATATTAAGATATAAGTTAAAACTTTCATTTATATGGTGGTAGTGATCCATCAATTGAGAGCAGCCTAGTAGCTGGATGGAGTTATTGTAACTATAACCTATGGACAATTGCAATGTCTTCAACAACCACAATACTTTCACTGTTCACCTTCACTGAAATTTAATCGAAGACAGCAAAGTAAGTGTTTTTAGAATAGAGTAAACCCTGGTGAGGCAGCCTGCCAGGCACACAGAATGCTACGTATGAAGAACATTGCAAACTACCCAAGAGACGTTCAAAAATTCAAAATTTTACACTGACTATGCAGGGTAAATCTCAGAAAAAGCATATAATCTCATACTCTGTACTACTGAGCTTCACAGAAAGGTAAACTCTGAAAAATGGATATAATGAAATCCTTCATTATCGTTACATCAAAGTTTCTTTTTTATGTTGTAACTCTTATATTTTCTAACCTGCAGACCAGCTGCCCTTGCAATCAGATCCTGTAAATTTTACAAGTATTTTCAATTGTTTGAACCTGCAGCCTATGTGCTTGTGATACACGGTGAGGGTAACAAGCAGAGAACAACCAGCTCCAGGTCTGCTCCTGAACTGCTTCACCCTGAGATGAGTTTCCACTCTTCGCTCCCATGTCCCCTTCTCACACTCACAAATACACACACACTTCTACTGCTTTCTCTTCTCACAATGACAAGCTGCAAAGGACTGGGAGGACAAGATACTGAGATAAGAAATGAAATACAGAGAAGACATCAGCATCTCTGAAATTATACTACAAGAAAAATTTACCTCAAAGTCATCCCTTCACTCAGGGTAGAAGATGACCTGGGAAACAGAACTTGAGGGTAAATTCTCCATTGCATTCCCATAATTGATAAGTTTATGTACAGTTAAATACAGTAGTTCTGGAATCTGTGTGTTTGTAGGCTGTTTCTTTCTTTTTTCCATTGCACAATATCACAGATTTTTTATTTTTGTAATATTTACTGGATAAACAAAAAATAACTGCAGCTTTAATTTTTAAGTGTTGCCAACAGCAACAATAGTAGCAATATTTAAGAAAATGATTATAGCTGTATAAGCTCTTTGGTGGTAGTATATCATGACTTCTCACTGATTCCCAGTTAGAATTAAAACAGATACCCAGAAAGAAGACTGTGCAAATACTGAGACTAAAACAAAGAACAAGTCACAGAAAATATCAGTGCTAGCATTCTGATTCGAGAATTTACCTATGGCCTGTTATTTTATTCCCACAGAACACTGCTTCATACTGCAGTAACTGCAGTGGCTCTATGCCACCAACTACAGAAGTAGAGATCAGGTGAGAGCTGACTAAAGCAGGAAACACAAAAATTACTTTGCTCTAAAATCTAAGTCACAGATGACCACCATTCTTCACTCTGCTTAGCTACAACAATATGCACAACAGCTACTGAGAAAGGCAAGGGAAAAACTACAGGGAAAAAAAAAAGATCTATATCTTATAAGTGAAATATTAGCTCTTAAATTCATTCACAAACTACATTAGTTTTCAGCTACTCTATTTGCCCACCAAAGCCACCGATGCAGTGTTAGTGAACTGCAGTTACGATTAATGCAGACTCATTACTGCTGGAAAAGCAATGAGATGCTAAAATTTCCACACCACATGACTACTCATTTACCATTGAGGGGTCTGTGGGTGAAGAAAGCCCCTCATCAGCATCCTCCTTGATAACATCCTAGCAACAACAAAATATTATGGTTTGGGTAAAATGATCAAGGGCTAAACAAAAAATATGAAGTAAATAATGAATGAGAATGATCTCATAATATACATAACTTGACATAAACGTATTTGCTTTCTGTTAGTGATTAAAGAAAAGATTCAATGTATCAATATCCTAGAATTAAACCACTGACAAGTAAGGCTTTTACTGCCTGTTTTGTGGGGTTTTTTTAAGCTTTCTTTAGTTCTTAACTCCATTTGAACAGCCATCTGTCAGTAAAATAAATATTCTTAATAGAAATCGTATTATTCTATAGGAAGCCAGAAAAGTCTGTTTGTTCTTCCTTTCCAAAGGGTAAATAAAGTTGAACTACGTATACAAAACCAAGCTGTAACTAATGCACGCTTCAGACAAAATGTATTTTGTTTTACTTGAATATTTAGAACATTGCTTTTAAGTTATTTATTTGGCCTTTACAACAGGAAGAGACGTAATTTTATTTTCTCCAGATGTCATAGGATTTGTATTATTATAAAATTCCAATATAAATTTATCACTGGCATTTTCTTTTAACATTGTACTGTATCAATTTACTGCAGTACAGTTGGCACATTCACTGAAATGCTTTCCTGCCAATATTACAGGTTAAACTTCTCCAATCTTGATACCTGCATGTCAGAATGTTTTCAACTCTGAGTAGCTTCTAAAGTTAAAACAAAATACATTTTACATTACATATCAATAACACCTTTGCTTAAACTATTTGTAAAATACAGCTTTTACTTGTCTAATACTGCATCATCATTAACAATTTTCATTTACATTATTCACTATACTTATTGTCTAGGTTAGTATGTGAATTAACCTTCAAAATACTTACTAGGCCATTGCTCTGATCTCTGGACAAACTCGTTTTTAGTGGACGTGAGATGAGATGAGAACTGCCAGGGTAATACCTTGGCATGTAAATACATGGGGCAAAGAATGGCTATGGGAAAAAAAATAAACGTAACAAAAAGAAGGGACAAACAATTACACAAATCAAAATGTAATAACAAAAGAAAACTTATTTCAACAAAACATATTCCGTAGTTCAGTTTAATAAAGTGAAAAGAGCAATTATTAACAGTGTTCTTTACTTCTTGCATTTAGCAGAATTCAATCAAAAGCTCTGGAGCGAGTCCTTCAAAACCCCTCAGCAACTGACCCTCCCTCCCCCCACTGCTCACCCCAAAGCCAGCAGGTGCCTCAACACGGCTTGCAAGAGGATCAGAGTGAGGTGCTCACAGTAGTTACACACTAACAGCTGTTTGGAAAATGTGGTAACGTGTCACATTTCCAATATTTTTCATTCATCTCAGAGCTGCTGAACTCATAAACAGATTTTCAGTAAAATGCAAAATGCTTCACAGCACCCAGAACAGTTGTTCAAAAATAAAAGTGATATTAATAAGTGACTGTTAATATAAGTCATTTCTAAGAGATACAGCGATCTCAAAATCACAAATTACTTCATTTTGAACAAAGTACTCCATATGTTCCAGTTCTTCAAGTGCTAAAATCAGCTGCACAAACACATTTCCTGAAATCCACATGGTACCACTGGCACGCGACTGAAATGTGTGCACGTGTGTACGTTTGAGAAACACAAACCTTACGACTACTAAGGTATTTAAGAAGGGCTTTTCCAATACTGTTAAATCTTGGTTTTGATCTAACTATGAACTTCAATTAGGTTTTGAAGTAAAGACCTTCGTTCCCTTGCAAATTCCCTTTTAAGGCAATGTAATGGAAAACCAACAGTCTTCAGACTTCACAAAAAAGAGAAGTGCAGAACTCTTTACATTCTTAATACTGAGTTCTCTGAAAGCAAAGAAAAAGAGGAAAACCAACCAAAAAGCAAACAATCCAAAACCACACTGGTGTTTTTATACATAACATTTAAAAATTATACTACCCTGCTATGTATCAAACAAAACTTACTACTTGGTTGATGTTTCTGCACATGACAAGACTTTAAGTAGTCCACTGCACCAAATTTAGTGTAGACTAGATGATGGTATAACTCGATGGCCAATGTATGAGGGGAATAAAACTTGTGGAAGTATTCCACTTTGGATTTAGCAATAAGGACAAAAAGAAATCAAAACAAACCAAGAAAGCGTTCTGCATTTGGAAACAGCAGTAAATGGATGGAGAGATGGAAACTTGATTCACGTGTACATCAAACACGATGGCGTATGCAGCAACTCCGAGTACGAAGAAATACATCTGATTCTCTGTCCTTAGCTGCAACAGGCAGCCTTTGCACACACTTTCAGGCTATCACCATATGGTTCACATGCTCTTTCAACGTATGAAGATGCACGGCATGCACTGTTATCAGTACTCAAATTGTGGGAGTCGTTTGTTCTGCGATTTTCAACTTGAGTTGGCCAAATAGGCAGGAGGACCAAAGCCTAGGCTTTGTCTCGTACCTACTGGTTAGTACAGGACAATTCAGAACATTCACTGCCTTGAAGCACAAGCTCTGTGGTATCTCGTGGAAATAAAACTCCTCTCAAAAAGAGTTTATGTTATTTCTCGAATCATTAAATGCTTCCGTTTTCCACTAGCAACTTAAACCACATGGAAAACCCACAAGCATGAGATGCTTAATTATGATACCACGTTCACATGCCTAGCTCTCGCTGCAGACTACCTTCTGAAACAAAGTGAGCACCTGTTTTTCAGTTGCGAGTCATCAAACTACAAAGCAATGAGAAAATTTGTCCAATAAGGCAATTATACCACAATTTGTTCACAATTTCTAATTACGCCTCATGCCCGCTTCAGCTACTCCACTGCTTTCCACCTGTGGAATTAATTCTCCAATATCAAGTTTAAACTCCGCAGTTTCAACTCTCGAAGTATAAAAAGACAGGTATAGTGAAAACGTGAGATCAATATAAATACATACTGGGCATTAACCAGCACAGAGCTGTTCTCCAAGTTCACAGATAGCCTTTAAGTCATAAGCACAGCTCAGGAATCAAAGAATGTGCTGCTACACCGGTGTAAATAAAATCAAATCCTTACATGCCATAATTTCTAGCTCCCACTCAGTTAACTTAGACATGCCTCCTGCTCTGATCTCCTCCATTAGAAACATGAGCTTAACAATGGTTTGTGACAGCAGCGACTTAGGGAAGCTGAACTTGACACCAAGTTGTCACCAGGGAAGCAGACAGGGGAAAACTGTTAGCCTTCTATCACTGTCCAAAATTGAGAGCGAAAGTGCCAAGTTAAAGAGCTGCTGAATTGGACCATAGCACAGCAATGCACAGGGAGAACGGGGCCTTAAACCAAAAATGAAGAGATTACGTGACTGGAAGCTCAAGAGCATAACACAGGAACATCTGAAGAACAAAGCAGAAACACAGAGAACATAAGCGTAGTATTTTCTGAAGACAAGCAACGTGAGCTTTCCACAAGAGCTCAAAGGTTTGTTTTGCTTTGTCTTTTTTTTCCTTAAGAACAAATGATCACCTATAAACAACAGGACAGATCAGAAAAAGGCAGCGTATCCATCCAAGGAACTTAAGAACACTGTGCCATAACATTCAGACATCTCCAGAGCAGCATTTGACCCCGCTGTGCTGTGTCATCCAAAGACCTCCCTCGGATAATTTGTTGTTCAGGAGAGCCTAATCATCCGTCAGTGTTCTTTTATTAAATACTGTTCTTCCAGAAGTGAAAAGTGATTGAAAATGCTTTCAGAAAACCTCTCTACTATCGTAGGGTTCTTGGTATTTATCTCAGTATGCAGTGCTTTATACCTTAGGAAAGCAGTATAAAAGTCCTTAGAGGAAGGCCAAAACAAAAGCACTTGAGTTTTAAAAAGGAAAAAAATCATGTCTGGAAGTCCAGGTATGCACTTAAAAATGAGCAAATGAAATACTTGTAAAGACAGCTCATGATTCACCAATAATTGCTTTTTTTATTGATTATTAGAACCACAAAAAACATCTACGTTTCAAAACTGCAAGTTTACCACATACTTAAAACCTTATCATGTGCAGGAACAGACAAAAAACAGGGCTTCCAATTAAACACTCACTTGAATTAAGTGAGTCAGTATCAGCAGGAAGATTAATAAGATAAGCATTTATCAGTGTTGGGCAAAGAGCACATCATTTCAAGTTATTTTAAACAGAACAGTATATATGCTCAATATAGTGTCAATATAAGAATAATTTTAGAACAGATAAAAGGCTCTGTGCTAAATATACTCTCTTCTGCCTTGGTTAACGAATATTAAGGAATAACTCAATTTTTTTCCCCCAGCTTATTAGATTGAACCTTAACCTACTATCATACCTCACTACTTAAAACTGCATACAGGAGCAATCTATGACTTATATCCGCCTTCCGAATATTTTTTCTCCCTGATAACATTGCAGGAAAAAAAGGAAAAAAGGTTTAAAAAATACTGAATATATCTCTACAAAAATACAAAGTTAGAATTTACTTGTGGAGGGCACTCCAATTTTAAATAACTACAAACTAAATCCCTCTCAGTAGATCAATACTGTGAATGTCGTTATAAAATGCATCTAAAAAGGCACTCTTTAAATGGCTGTCTCACCTAATAAGCCTATTTATACCTTCATAACTTGGAACAATGTTAAAAAAAAACAGTTTATCTTGCATTGTTTAGATTCAATCCCATTATACAGTAAAGCTCTGCAAATTACATGTGAGCCATGTCTAAGACTATGTTTTCTGATGCCCACACATAACTCAAAATTATATGGTTGATGCAATTTATGTTAATTCTTTAAACCAGTGCAGCACTGGTTAAGGATAAAGACCCCAGAATAACTTTAGAAAGAGATAAAAGAGAAGACATGTCTGGATACGTTCTTGTTGGGCAGTTCCTCCAAAGTTGCTGCATTTTTTTTTTTTATTTTATATTTTTAAGTTTCTGTAGTTTACCCCATTTACCAAGGGAAAAAACAAAACAGGACCTTCTCTAATGACTGTAAGCAAGTATGTGAAGTGTGCAGAATTTACCATTTGAAAAGCAGTATGTGTATTTACATGTAAAGTGTGCCTGCAATACCCTACAACTATGCAGCACATCTGTGCATTTGACCTTGTTTGACCTTTCTTCCCTTTTGTAATACTCTAATGCAGTTTACCTCATTTCCCTACAAGACTATATGAGCAAACATTACTGTGAAATGTACTGACTTTTGGACAAAGCTCCATTTGTAAATATTATCCGCATGGGTCTTTTAAACATTTCACAGACGTCACACGCAGTACTACCCAGGTTAAATGAGAAGAATGTGAATTGGTTCTTGATTATTTACCCGATTGTAGAACGGATGCTGGGGTCCTGTCATACCACTATAGTAACTGCTGTGAGGTTGGGGTGATAGAACTCCACTGTTGAAAGGTCCATTGAAAGAGGTTGTAGAAGAGCAGGCTGATGAAGGCTGACTGAACAGAGACGCTGCTCTGGCAGGTGCCTCATGTAAAGGCAATGTGGGATAAGGAAGTCCTCCTATATTCATTTGATCTCTTGCAGCACGAACATCTGAAGAACAAAGGTAAAAGGAGAATGAGATTGAGCCTGAGATACTTGAACAAGTTTTGATTTGTTTGCCCACTGTGTCCAGTTCTGGGCCCGTCAATGCCAAAGATACAGACATACTGGAAAGAGCCCACCAGAGGGCTCAGACAGAAGACCCTCCTGTGAGGAGAGGCTGAGGGAGTTGGGGCTGCTGAGGCTGGAGAACAAGCGGCTCAGAAGCATGTTCAGAAATACCTGGATGGAGGGTGCAGAGAGGATGGAACCAGGCTCTTTTCAGTGGTGCTCAGCAACAGGACAAGAGGCAATGGGCACTTACTAAAACACAAGGGATTCACAACCCACTAAGGATACTATCAGATCAGAAACTCATAAGGATCCCATTTTAAATCTAAAGATCAGGTTTTCTTCAAAGTTTTAGCATCTTTACACAAGGACAAATATTAGGATGCCTTGGCCTTACTCCAGATCAAACAGCAACCTCTGTCATATTAGAGGTCACATCAGTCCACTTCAGCAGTTGTCAGAATTTTTACTGTCAAGCACATACCTGAATCTGAGTTCACTTTTTGAGACTACAAGCTAGTAATAACAACGAACAACAGCTACCCTATTAGGGATTTAAATATCATCCTAACACAGACTAAAAAAAAATGACTGGCATGTACCAACAGCACAGGTGTCTAGCAGGGGATGCATCAGATTGGAGACATTACATTCTGTTTCACTGGCTTCACTTCTAAAGGACCTGATGCCACCTGAAATTGTTAAAAACTACTTGAAGTAAATTTGCATTTCTACAAATAAAATATCACTGTGATACATGTACTGTTTTCTCACAACTGCTAAAGCTATCTTTGAATCAACCATTAACAATATTTTGTCCATTCTGAAGAACTGCTTTAAGACTAGTATGATTTGTCCTGTATAGAAAGCTACAAAGTAGAACTGAACAACTTGCTACTGCAGTCAGGTCAGACGACGTGAAAGTTTGAACTGATGAACAACTCAGGATCCTGTGCAATATGCAAAGCAGCTCTACCTCAATTATCATTTTTTATTCATTTGAAAACATGCTTACCTGCAATGATTTCCCGTAGTTTGGGATCTAAGTTGACAGTACATGGCAAAAATGTTCTTACATCACGTGCTACAAGAACAGGTGTTCGAGAAGATAAAAATACTTCAAAGTTCCGTATATCTCCATCAATTTCAAGCAGTGGTTCAACATCTTTAGTTGTAGGAATATTCTTTGAAATTCTGGAGAGAGAAAAATGGATAAACAAACCATAATAATTAGAGTATGGTTATTCACTGAAATCAGATCAGGAATTTATAGTTCTAACTTCAAATCCAAAGTAACGGCAAGTTAACATGTCAACATTAACCTGAAGTATTCACTCAAATTCTAATACAGAAATTAGAAATTACAGAGTTAAAGTTCCAACTTTCAAACTAATATTTCTTCCAACAGGAACAGTCAGGTTTCTTAATCACTGATCAGAACCCAACCATGTGAGATTTCATGGTAAACAAGCATCTGCTCCCAACTAACTCACCTTCTAAAACAAGATGCCACAAGTACACCAACAGAGAAAAACAAACAAAAAAAAGATCAACAAAACAGTGAGACAAGGTCAACGCCGATGCACTGTGACTACTGGAAGCAATGGTGTCTTTTTGGTTTTTTTCTCTGTATGTGTTTTGTGGTAGGTTTTTCTGTATGCTCTCACATAAAGGAGTTTCATGGAGGAATGAGGAGTACTAAATGTTTGCCTTAATGTAAAAAAAAGAAAACACTTCAAACAAAATCTGGTTGGATCTGAAATATATTTTTAATAGCTAACGAACTACATCTACAATTAGCTGAACTATCTTATTTCACAACTTGTTAGCTTTTAAAAACAATGACTTTCTTTGATCTTTATTTTAGCTCCCCTACTACTTCAGGTACAATGGATTGTTCCAGAAATAACAATGGCAAATTTACACAGAATATTTAGGATTTAGTATTAACAGACATAAAGGAACTGAGGATCAGTGCTAGATACCTGATGTAAGTGCAACTCTTTTACATCAAAAAAGCATTTCAACTGTGTGCAAATCTCTCACTTCGATCTGTTAGTGCTGTCTTGTGCTATACTAAAATTAAGACATTCCTGTTAATTTTACCAAATATTAGAGAAAATAGCTAAATGGATCATGTACCTAACAAATGGCTGCTTCTATACTATGCTTTTATAAGCAGTGTCTTCACATCAAGAGTGAATGGTCAAAAGCTAGAAAAATTTAAGACTAAAGGCACTATCAAAAAACCTGTCCAGTCAGCAAAATCTGCTTATGTCAACTTTGCAAGTCTGGCTATTATGTTAGTTTTATATGAGGCAAGGTGGAAGACCCTATGTGTAAATGTACATGTTTTTAAATGAAATACCATAAATTTAATTAACATACATTTCAGTTATGCATATTTATTTTCAGTATTCCAGACAAGAGTTTAAAACAAGCAAAACAAAGATTAAGTCAGTACCGAAGTCAGGGACCAAGGAGTTAAAGAGTGGCCTATTTCAACACTTGAGTCTACAAAATAAAATGCTGAAAGAGAATGTGACATAGATTTAAATCAAATACACAGCTGATGAATCACATGAAACAAATTAGCTGAATTTTAATGCCAGCTCTACTTAAGTATGAATGTGAACTGTGTTCTGAATATGACCAACAAAGCTTCTGTTCAGAAGCCAGTAGCCCACTGCTGGTGTACAGATTGAAGTCTCTATTCTGACCTCCTGAGCTCAATGCCTTAAACTACGCCTTTGAAAGAAATTTTATACAAATGATAATCTGCTGGCTAAGAGCCACAGGAATGGCATGTGTCTGTACTTCTTAGATTAAAAAAAATATATAAGGTTATATGTAAAGCACTTCAGGAGTTACTTTTTCCAGAATATAAGTACACAGATCTAACAATTAAGCCCTGTGAACACTCTATTCTCATTGTCAGGCTAGATACTACTGAGGGAGAAAAATTGCCCTATCAACCACAAACATCAAAAAAACTGTCAGCATTGCTGAATGTCTGTTTCTGTGAAAAACTACCAATATATATATATAAAAAAAGGGCCTAAAACAGAATATTACATTGACAAAAGCTTAAAAATTCATTCTACTATGCCTCCGATGGCCTTACCACCAGCAGCCATAATTAAGAGCTGCCTTGGATTAAGTTGTATTTCAGTGATGTCCAATAATGATTTCCTCAAGAAAATAGTTAAAATACATACTGATAAATCATTTGAACGTTCCACTCAAAAGACCCCGATTTTGCTACAGATCTTTTCATTTTTGTTCATTTTTACATTTCCACAACTGATTGGGAAATAACCACCGTGGTCCAGCAGCAATGAGTGTTGCCAGCGCAGGCTAAAGGCAGATGCTAAGCCATCAGGCCCTGTGTGGCACAGCATGCTTGCCACCACCTTCTGCAGGAGAGGTCACCACCAGAGGACACGCTCCTTCACCACCAAGGCAGGTGGTGGTCAAAAGGAAGAGGCTTTGCCCATCTCCACCCACGCAGCAGGCTGTGTTGTCCCACACTCCCTGTTCAGTCGGGTCAGGGCCCGGAGGACACCAGCAGGCCCTACATCCATCACCTCTGAGCTGCAGGCCAGCCCTCGCACAGTGCAGCAGAGCAACCTGGGATTAGACCGCCACGAGAAGCATCACTGGTTGCTACTATTGCTTGACTTGAGAACTGCATTCAAGTGCAGGCCTTTGCCTTTGCTTCTTGCCAAAGCTCCATCTATGCACATTGCTGGCCTTGGTCTCAATCCACTGATTTCTTCCTGCCACAATCTGTGGCTACAGAAACTCACGGGGATCAGAGGAATGTTTTCTGGCATGGCCAAAGGCAACGCTCCTCCCATTTGAGTACCACAAGACTGCAGCCCCCGCCTGTGAGGACAAGGCCCTGCCCTGCAGGCACTCACTCCACCCAGCTGCTCCCCAGCAGGCAGACAGCCTTCTCTGCACAGCTCGGAGCTGGAAGGTCATCCCCACTGCCCTTTCCAGGCCTCTTCCCCTGACAGCAAAAGCAAAGACTTTCAACAAGCTCATCTTCAAACACGTTAAACAATCTTCCTCAGCTGCAGCAAGTAACTAGGCAAGTAGGAGTCAATTAACTTACTCCATAAAAAGCAACTGACCTAATTAATTAGAATTATTAAGAAATAATTAGAGCAACAGAAGGCATAAGCAAGAAGGCATGTCATATTTTACTTATAATGTGCCTTTTAAGTTTTTCCTTTCATATAGTTTAAGTCAAAACTTAAAATAGTAACTTAAAATGATGAAATAATTTTCTCTTTCAAAATGATGCAAAACCATTCTTCCTGTAGGTCTTATGCTAAGGAAAAGAAAAACCTTGAAAACGTGGATCATTCTGAAATGCGAGACAAAAAATTCATGCTTAGTAAGCCGGTCATTAAATATCTATTCTCTAATATCTAATAAACTAATACCACCGATTTAATATTTTGAAGTTGTGTATCCTGTTCTTCTTGCACCTGGTCAAAATAGCAATAGTGTCTGCAGGCATAAGGGTGTATTTCTTCCACATTAGATGTTCAAATACAAAACAGTCCACAAAATTTATAGTACTATCAATCTATCAACAACAGCACTTGAAATACTCTTCAAGCTGCAACAGGTAGCTTGGACATTAAAAAGAACATTTGCTCATATACAAACTCGTATAAAGACAGAAATAAAAAGTCATCACGCACAATGATAAAACAGAGGAAATCAATGTTTACTTTAATAAAGACAAAAAAGGAAAGCTATGGTTTGACATCGCTACCTAGAAAGAAACTTATAACCCCCTCGCTGCATATTAAGCAGTACAGAGACTTCACTGAACAGATGCAATAGCTATTTAAAAACTGCTATTACCATAGGTATTCAGGAAAGCTTTCTTTGCAAAACTAACGATTCTAGCCGAGTAATGCCAGATAAAGCACTTCTGAGTCTTCTGGTTTTGACCACTTCAGAAAGAAAAAGCATTTTCTTAGAAGATGGACAGTTACTAAACTTCTAATCTCCCATGCCCAGTATCATGGTCTACCACTGAGTCATATTACAAAGGTCAGATTTTAATTTAACTTTTCAGAATACATCCCATGTCAACATCCTTTTTAATTAAAAAGTGTTAATAGAGTTTAAGATGCCTGGATTCATTTACAACTTTACAGTGCTATTTGAATTAGAGAAGGCAAAAAATAATTTTTTTTGAAGATATTACACAGATAGAAAAGCAGCGAAATGGAGTAGTAAAGAATTTAAGACTGCTCAAAAACTGCTGCTGCAAACAAAAAAAGTAATTGTGTCTTACTAATGAGACGTCCAACAGGATCACTCACACAAGTAAAATAGAAGAATACTGTATTAATCTGTTTTCAGTATTTTAGACCACCAAATGTTATTTACAAAGCTTCTTTAAGGCTTTGTGCAGGGATTCTTTCATTCAATACCTTTACCTGCAGGATTTTAGATTTCCAGCAAACATTTGCAGTTTCTGTAGGATTTGAAATCACAAGGATATGAGCCACTGGTATTGTGTAGCCAAAATAGGCATTTCCAGACCACCACCTTACACCACAGTGGTTTTTCTATTTTTGAATAAATATCCCACCTTTGACAAAAGCATTCATTCAAGTACAAAAAGACATTACCTCCAATTTTATTTCCTAACTTTACTGACTCCCCCCAAAATACAAAGGCCTCAGGAATTGACTCGTGAGTAAAAATATTTCATTTTCAGAAATTTGTGTTTACTGTGTTGCTGAAATTAAGACTTCTGTGTCCTATCCAAAGTTAATATCAACTAGAGGAGTTTTGAGTGACTTGAAATACACAAGTGTTTTGTTTTGTTTTGTTTTTTTTATTGAGATATCAGTAATGCACATTAACTATAACTTCTTATATGCTTATCTAGAACGTAATCCAGAAATGTGACTTACTAGTCTACATTAGCAAGGTAACTAAAAAGAAAGACAAAAAAAAAATACTCAGAACTTCCTTTCTGTAGTGTTCTGATCAGCTTTTGCAGTCCTTTGAGATTCTCTGGATCCAACTCCCCTGCTATAAGCAGGGACACCTTCCACTACACCAGGTTGCTCAAAGCCCCATCCAACCTGGCCTTCAACACCTTCGAGAGGCATCCACATCCTCTCCCGTCAAAGAATTTCTTCCTGTTATCTATT